CAGGGCTCTACGGATACTTTTCTTTTTAGGAGTGCTTGTGCTTTTAGGAGCACCTTCTAATCAGTAATCAAAAATTCTGATAAAAAAATTTACCTTCCCATTACGAGGTGATAATAGACTCCTTAAAGTGATTTATAGGGAATTTTGTTTTTACCTTTGTAATGGCATTTTTCTAACTTTAAATAAAAAATATATTTAAGCTTTTTAACATTTCTAATTAAAACAACAGAATAAAAACGAGTAGAATAAGAATAAGTTACCAATCAAATGAAATCAGTATTTAAGAAATAAATGTGTGTGCTTGTAGGTGTATTTTCAGGCGTTTAATGAGGCTCAGAGGTCGCATGGGTGCAATTAAATTCATAAATTCATGTTGAGGTTAATGTTTTAAATATAACATTTTGAATATAAAAATTTAAATAACAGAAAAGATGCTTTTAAAAAAAATAAACTAAAACTGCCAGCAGGTGGCGTCAAGTCACTGATTTTATCACTGAATCATTCATTCAATTGATTTGTTCGAACAGCTGAATCATTCAGGAACGAAGTACGTGATTGTCTTTATGAATGGGTAATTGAATCATTGACTCACTAGATTCATTTAAAAACGCAGTTCATTCATAAACAAATCACCGCTGTGTTTGAATGGCGATGCGCAGCGGCTGAGCTGTTCCTTTTTTTTTTTTTTTTTTCTATTTTCGTTGATGAAATAGAGCAAAATAAGGCAATTGTGTTGTTGTCAGACAATAAAAGTCACTTAATATTAACTTCTTGTTTAATGAACTGTTGTATTAAATCAATATCACATTTGCAAACTCCCTTAATAATCATTAAAAGCTGTCGCTCATCTTAGTTTATCCCGATATCACAAAACTCCATTATAATTGACGAAGTTCTCTACACTGCACAATGAACATCTTATTTACACCCCGTCAACACTTTGTTTGTTATAATGAGAGGATACGTCTGTGATACATTACTCAACGGTGCAGAAACACGTAAGTATATTAGAACCTTTGAAGCTCCCTCAGCGCAAACACAGATATGCTGATCGGGTCAGTCACACTGGTGCTCCTAAATATTATTTCATAGTCGCACGACTGAAATGGTCGCACTGTAGAGCCCTGTCAAGTCAACGGGAGAGACTGTTCGAAAGGGAACTGAACGCTACACTGCCGATACCAGTCGGCTGTGCTGTTGTGTTAAAGACATTGCTTTGGTAAGGGTGAAAGAGACAGAGCTGATTCAGTATGGCAGCGCTGTGGGTGAAATCAGGGTGAGTTTTAATGTGCTGATGCAAAATTAATGATGTTATGTAACTTTAGAGGAGTTTTGTAATTAACAACACATGCTGCTGATTTAGAGGTTCTCAAGGAGTAGTGTCCCATGTTCTCTCTCTCTTCATTCTCTTCTTCACCTTCTATCTGGAGTGAATGCATATATAGCTGTTTTAAAGTTCACACAAAATGTACAATTCTGACATGATTTACTCCTCTTCATATCTGATGACAGTTGTACGTGTGTTTGATATTGAGTAATAACTTACAAACTCACTCAACAAGGAGTTTAGCGTTTTCCAGTGTGCTCCTTCAAATACTTAATGAAGTAATACAGACACATAAAATGCTCTCTGAGAGTAAGAGAGAAGTTCTGGGTTTTCTGAATGATGTTTTTATGTGAAAAGTCTTCTTTTTGTTTTGTTGTAGCACAGAGCCAGTAAAATCTCTTAAACGTGTCTTTAACAGTTGGAGGTGTTGCAAGAGTCAAGAATGATGATCCCTGACTGCCATCGTCGTTTAGCCACGGCCCACGCTGACCTGCAACAACTGTTGGTGAGAATATGAAATGCACAGTGTTTCAGGTGTTGACCTACCTGTAAGGTTTGAACTCAGCAGCACAATTTAGTTACCCAAAAATTAAAATTTGCTCAAAATGTCATCCAAGATGTAGATTAGGTGTTTTCATTATCAGAACAAATTTGGAGAAATTTAGCATTACCTCACTTGTTCACCAGTGGATCCTCTGCAGTCCAAACAGCTGATAAAAACATCACAATAATCCTCAAGTAATCCACAGCACTCCAGTCCACCAACATGTTTGTTTAGAACTGTTTTGGACTAGTTTCACTTGTAAACGGTGCTTGATCTGTGCATATTTCTCTCTTGATTCCGACAAGATTTTTCCACTTGAGTTTGAAGTTAAAATCCTTTTAATGATGGATTTGTTTTTTAAAAACGCGCAGCTTTTTGCTTCCTATGATGTTAATTGATGGGCTGGAGTGGTGTGGATAACTTGTGTAATGTTTTATCAGCTCTTTGAACTCCCATTCTGACGGCACCCATTCACTGCAGAGGATCCACGGGTGAGCAAGTGATGGAATGCTAAATTTCTCCAAATCTGTTCAGATGAAGTGATAAACTCATCTACATCTTGGATGGAAAAGTTATTCATAGTCTGAATATTGGTAGTACAGGAGAACATTTTTGTGTCCAAGCATCTCACAGGTGTTCGGATCAGTGCTAAGCACAAGACACCATGACATTGCAGGTTTATGTGTGTGAGAAAGATGTCTGTTTGTGAGAGATGTACAGGGGAGACAGTGTGCCATCCGCTTCCTGTTTGTTGGCGTTTAGAGGAAGTAGAGGATTACAGGGGTCACATTAATTAACAGCAAACAAAGCTGATTGCACAGGTGCTTTTCAAGTGGCTTGCTGCGAACAGCCCCTGTTTGTGTTTCAATAAAAATGGTTCCTATACCCTCTACATTTATGTGTCAGAGTAAAACATACCGTCAGCCACAGCAGCAGCTCAGTGAGGCTACACACACACACACACACACACACACACAGTCCTGTGCTGCACTCATTCAGTTCATTAGTAATGTTGTCACGGCAATGGCCTTTATAGAAACCATCGTCGATCGATTAGCATTGATATGACCTACTACTCTCACTGCCTCCATTACATTTTCTCACTGTGTTACGTGTGTGTTTGTTTGTCAGAGGGGCTTGTGTGTGTGTGATTATCTGACAGGTTTACTGAGTGGATTAGCTGTTTTTGGTGAGGTAGTTAGTCTCTTTCATTGTGTTACTGTGATCTGATTTACTAACTCCAACTGGATGGAAAGCTCCCACTCTGTAGACTTCAGGTTTGAATTTATTTTGTCATTTAAGGCAGTTAAAAACCAAGATGGTTGTGAATATAAGTGTAAATATTTTGATAAATGTTTTTATACTAACTAAAATTATGCAGTGGATCTTGAAATCTGAGGTTTGGTATAATCCATTTACATTTATATGATTCATGATTGAAAAAAAACACATTGTGATCTTAAAATATATCAGTATTTTGGATAAGAAACAAATGTGTAATAGGTATAGTAGTAATTATCAGTTCATTAAATTCTGTAGCCAATGCTTTGAATGTATTGTAAATTACTAGGGTTGTAAGCAGGGCCGTTTCTAGGCATAGGCAAGCTAGGCGGTCGCCTAGGGCGCCACCAGCTGAAGGGGCGCCAATGAGCGCATGTACTGGCACTTTTAGCAGGGTTGTGATAAAGAGTGGCACGGTCACCCTGAAATATGACTGCCCCCCCCACTAGATCCCCCAACATTATTGGGCTAGAGTACTGTCAATCTGACGATGCCTGTATGCCACTAGATCAGAGTGCTGTCAATTGCTGCCTGATTGTTACATGCAAAGTTTGCATTTGGAGCGCTCAACAGCGCCGTTAGATCAGTGGGCTCTGTCAGTGCTTTGGCAAGGTAACACTTTTTTTTGCCATGCAATAAAGCTAAGTTCAAAGGCCAATTTAAAATATTGGTACAGTAAATAAAGTGCACAAAATCAGTATTTTGTTTAGGCAGTATTTGTGGCACTTTTGTGGCACATTTGTCCAAATATTTGTGGCAGATTTGTCCAAAAGGTATGCGTTTTTTGCGCCAATGCATTGTTAAAGGATCAGCGTGTCATGTAATATTCCCATATAAACTTTAACATCCAATAAAAAAATATTTGTATAGTAAAATTCACTAGATCAATACATCCTTTATTAGACCGCTTTGTCGAGTTAAATGCATCCTTACGGAGGTGTCGAAATGCTGAATCAATTCATTCACTTCCAACAGCGCTTAATGGGAGCAGCGTCATAGAGGGCAGAGCGTCACGTTATTTAAGGGGACGTTAACGTGTTAATGAGTAGCAAATGATTAAGTAGCTGCATTGGTTACTTTTATGCCACTGATAAAGCTTTTATTTGTAGTTTGGGGTAACAAAGGGGTTTTATAGGTTTGACTGAAATAATAATGCAATAACTGACACTTTAAATCAATGTTTCAAGAAACAACAACAAAAAAAAATGAACAAAAAAACAGATAAAGACAAAAAAGTAGCCATTGATAATATCTAAACAATATGTAGTAGTATAGTGTATATAGTATCCAAATCAAAATATAATCGAATTAATTTGTGTAAATTATGTGCAATGTCTTAGCCACTAGGGATTGTTACATAGGGCTATACAGGCATCTAGTGGCAACGCAATGATATTACAGATACTAAATTGTGCAAAATGTTTATCTTAACAGTCAATTTACAAATAATGCATTCAGATTTGTGGAACACAATGCACTGAATCTCCACAAATTAGTGTCGTTACTATGACAACCAATTTGAATGTGACAAGCAACTGGTGTCTGAAAAGAATTTTTTATATATATATAATTATAATTTGTGGGGGGGGGGCGCAATAGGGATTTCGCCTAGGGCTTCAAATTGGCTAGAAACGGCCCTGGTTGTAAGATGCATCACTTTCTTCATGTTATTTGTTCATTATTCATATTTTTAATTAACCAAATATTACTTGCACTCATTAAGACTCTAGATTGGGTACAGACGATGACTTGAAATCATTTTTATTTTCAGGAAACAGAAGAGGAACTGGCTGAAATGGAAGAATACAAGGAGGCCAGAACTGTTTTAGATTCAGTCAAGCTGGAAGGATGATGGACACGAACGAATAAACACCCACAGACGTTAATGTACACCCTGACATCCCAAGTGTCCATTCCATTTGTTCTGACCTGTTTAGCGTTTCAGAAGCAATGCGATGTTTACTGATTGCTTATGTTTGCATTTCAAAGATTTTTGTATTGATTCATAATTTAATGACACCATCTTCTTCCTAGCATTCTGTGATCAAATGCACACTATCATGAAATAAAGTTTCTTTTTACTATTTCAAACCCTTCTGTTTTTTTTTTTTTTTATTGGTGTAAAGATAAACCTTCATGCGCCTAGTTATTATTGAATACTGACATTTTTTGTTCAGCTCTGTATCTTCAGTTCATTATAGTATGTTACTTTTTTAGATTAGACCTTCACCTGCTGGGAAGGGAAAAATTGTGACACATCTTTGATTTCATGTAAGCATTTCACATTTATTCCTGCTGCAGGTATGTGTGACTACATAAAGCTGAATTAATATGTAAAACACTGGCCTTGAGTTTTGATATAAGATGCCATATGCTTCCCTTCTCATAGGACTGCAGTAATTAATGCAGAATTTGAACCTGGATGTCAGTCACGTGGACGGGCTTTGCTTTCCTGCATGCAGAGGGAGACAGGTATAGCATGAAAAACTAGTATATGATGAGAATATATTTCCAGCTCTCCTGAAAAGACACTGACCTCCGCTGGCCAGATTCTCTCATGCAAGCACGTGCCCACGGCTGCAGTTCTCCTGCACACATGCTTTGACCTAGTTGCTGGATATTTTGCAGTTTTAACATGATTGCATCATTTGAGTTCTGGGTGTATTTTGTAGGCTATGAATGTCTTTGCCATTTCATATTAGGTAATGGAGGGCCTGTTTCTGATCCTCTGGTAGAGATTGCATCAAGCTTTTCCCATGTCTCAGATATTGTAATCAACATTGTCAAGGTAAATGGAGAAATTTCCTTCGCAATAACTTACTGCTTTCTTCAATGCATTTGATATCACATAGTTCAGATTTATTTTACAGAACTATGTGATGTAAAATGCAGGGGGCAACTCTTCAGTAGTCTGTATGGTTATGTATTGTTTTCTGTTTAAAGTGCCCCAAAACCTATTTGGACAGTCAAACCTAAACAAGAGTGAATGTTGCTGCATTCAATAACAAAATAAAACATAATGGATAAGGTAATCAAACCAAGTGGCATTTATTTGTCATATATAATCACAGTTTTCAAGCAAGACTTTTAATCATTTTATATTTTCGTAACATGATAGATATACTGTTTAAATAAAGACATATATATTTGTAATTATTTATTGCACATGATGTGTTTTTGGTTACATTATATTTTTTTTGACCTTTTTTTGTGTGTGTGTGTGGTTGGTTGTTCACAGGCCCATATGTAAAAAATAAAAAGATACTTGAGGCACCATTTTGGCTCTCTGAAGAGCTTGTAGGAACCCTTAAATATATCCATATCTTTCTATATTTGCAGCGTATAACGCAAATCTCTTTTTCTGTAGGCATGTCCCAGTAGCGTTGGACTGTTGTGATTAGGAGTTGTTTAAATGGTGTCCTTTTCAATGGGTGTTTCCTCACTGAAACAGATCATTGAATGGATTTCTGTCAGGTTCGCGTTTCTTCTTAAGTCTATATAGTTCCGCCTAATTCAGTGTGTTATAAAATGTGTTTCGGGGTTTTTTTGAAAGCCGAAGGAGCAGATGAATTCGGGTTCCATTTGGCTTGGTCTTCATTCTACATATTTCGATAATTATCGGGTTCACCCCGAAGCCTCATTATAGCGCTAATGAGGCGCCGCCACTCCGTGACACCCAACCGCTCCATCTCGTTAAGGAAATCGCTCTTCAATGCTGATTATTTTATTTGGAGCCATAATTATATTTCTTTCGGATAAATCACGGTCTAATCGAGTCCGTTCGGAGGGCAGAGCCTAATTGGAGCATGAGATGCGGCGGAGGGCGCGCGCGACCGGAGGAACCGGAGCACCTGATGGATTTAGGGGGAGGAGGGATTCTTCATCACCCCCTCCTCCTCCTCTTCCTCCTCCTCCTCCAGCTAAAACACAACAGCTTATTACCTTTAATCCCCCCGACTGTCACCGCATCACCTGCACGAAACAAGAATCTAATTTGTTAAACTGGCATTTCTGCAGATGGACGATCGATTTTCTCTTTAGGATTCTCTAATTGAGTGAATATAGACGCCCCGTGAATCACATTCCGCCGTGGAGCCGCATGTGCGGAGAAAGAAGGCGTTATGCGGCACGTGTGTGGGTGTGGAGCCGGGTTTGTCTGTTGTGTGGACCGAATGTCCCCTACACGGGACAGCAAGACCTAAAATCACTAAAAATGTTTTAATGGAAATCTGAAAATGCAGAAAGGTGTGTGAGAAGTCAATGTGTGTATTTGCGTGTCATTAGAAGTCAAATAGCCGAAAATGTACCACATAAAGTGGCTAATTTAATAAAATATTTCCCCTAGAATTAATACTTGTGATAATAATAATATAGTTTATGTAATAATATTCTATATCATTTATAATATAGTTGATATTTAATAAAAAATTGAAGTCAGTGGGAATATAAATATGCTACATTTTTATTTATTTCATTTTATTATTTTACAAATCTAGCCATATATAAAATATTATTATTATTATGTGGATATAGTTTTCCCAAAATAGTAAAGCTGTATTTTAAGAGCAGCATTTTAACAGCTGTAGGCCTATTTTAAATTTATCCATAGATGATAATATGCGTAGATTTGTTATTAAAGACGTTACATATATCTATTAAAGTTATAATATGGTATTATTACTGTTTTAACTGTTTGTTTTAACTTCACACTCATTTATCCATAGGAGTATTTGCCAAATGTTTTGAACGTCTTTGAATTTATCATTTGATTTGATAGTTTGTAGTGCATTAAATCAGTTTTTTTGAAGGAAAACGTGGAAAAATTACTTTCAGTTATTTGGGAAAAAATATCTGATTCTACGTTGTCCTAATTGTTTGGTGATACAATTACAAATGTTATTAGTGGTTATATATTCTATATTTACATCATTAGTTGTGTTTTGTGTGCATGTTGTGTACACCATAAAGTAAATATTATTATTATTATTATTTCCATTATTAATTGCTAAATTACAGTACTGTGTAGTCGTGGTACTGCTGGTCGTACGTTTTTTGTTTTGTTTATATATATATATATATATGTGTGTGTGTGTGTGTGTGTGTGTGTTGATTCCTGAACTTTAGTTGTGATCACAACCTTTTGCTGCAGCTCAGAGGACCTAAAGATTTTTCTTTTTTCTTTTTCATTACTGGTGAGGTCAGGAAACAGTTGTGTATCCCCCTCAAATGCATTTAATAAAATGTTTTGCTTCGCTTCGCGTTTCACAAATAAAGCTTGAAATCCCCTTGCTGGCTGCAGGCCGGGTATTGGTGTACAGAAATTCAATCTGTACATTTTGTACGGAGGTAAACAGAAGGAATGAATTGCATTAGAGCAAGCAAATGCATTTCCAGCCAGCCAGTTTTCAGCCCTTGCTCCGTTTGTGTGCAACAATCTAAAACTTAGTTATTATAGAAGGGGAAAAAACACTTGATCCTATGCATAAAAAACTCTTACAGCCGAATAAAGACAAAAGCAAGCAGTAAGAGGATAAAAGAATGTTAATTGAGGGTCACAGCTTGCACACTATATTTGTTCATATTTTATGAAGTGCACGGCAGCCCTTCACTCATATGTCCCCTGAAAGCATCGTTAGGCGTCTGTCGCACTTTTAGTCCGTTAAATATGACCGTGTGCCTCCAGAAGAGTGATTCACTTCTGTTTGTGCAGCTATAAAAGCATCGAGCAATATGAAAAGTCATCAAATGAAGCGCGCTATCAATCACGCGTCATCTGTTTCAGAACAAACAATGTAATGATTTCAAATGATCGTTATTGTTGATGCAGTTGATTTTTTCTTGCTATGATACACGAGGATACAAATAAAATTGTGAACAACGAATAGTAAAAGTGTTCGTTCATGCATGTGAATCATTTCCGTCTTAAACACCAATCGTACACTCTTTAAAAAAAAATAAAGGTTGCTCTTAGAACCTGAAACTGTCATTGGAGAAGATGATTTTTAAAGAACTTTTATTTAGTCGTTTTTTAGAATCTGTAAACGAATGGATCTTAAAAGTCTATAATTCTCGTTTGATGTCTCCAAAGAAGCATATAAACAACTCACGTTTGAGTTTGTTTGAATAGAACAAGCGAAGAACCTTTATTTTTAAGCGTGTAGAATAAAAGGATTACAACTCCAGCAAGATAAAACAACACATCCTCATCCCAATTCAAAAAGCCCCAGTCTATTTCCTGGCCAAAAGCAAAGTGTGAGATGAACACAAACCCGAGATCTTCCATTACGCGCCCGGTGCCTCGTTCGCCTTCTCTGACATTTCGGACATCAAAACGCAGCGCAAGAACAATTGTTTCCGAATTGAATCCGCACTCTCTTCCTTTCCTCATTTTCAGCGAGGCATATACATTTCCCCGGCGAGTCAAGAGTCGCATCTGACCCGGCGTCTGGAAGCGGGCGCTCTTGTTCTTACCAGCAGATTGGTGGCTTGTCAAAAAAGCGTCGAAAGTTTCTCGCTCGGACGCGTCCTTTGTGCGCGCTGAAAAGACACCATTCACTCTCGCAAATAAAGGAGTTCTTTAAACCATCCCACTGACATCTGCTTAGAGTCTTGTTTGCGCTGGTTGTCTGCTATTTTTCACCGGCTCCGTGTGTGACCAAAGCTATTGTGTTAATTGGTGTAAATGCAGGTTCGTTTATTGGTGGTTAGACGGGCTGCACCGGCACTCGAGTGATCTTTGCATGAAATGAATCAAGTTAATTTGGGGCAATTGGATGAAAAATCAATGCAACGAATACAATTTGTCAGCGTAGAGTGTTTAAAGTCTAAATGTATCTATTTTGGTGCGAAAGTCCTCGCACTCCCCCTTTGCTTTGGTGGGGGTTTCCCTGTGTCTGCGCGCATCAGCCCTGGAAGCACATTTCTGACTGACTTTCCACCGAATTATGCACCTAATTTGCTCACATATCATTTACTCCAAGTTCCTCCCGCCGTGACAGTCGGGCCTAAACACTACTAAATCAGCCCTAATTTATACTGATCTCGCTAATAATCGTAATAAAAAGCTTATAGATTTGGCACTAATTACATAAAAGCCTAATGATGTTGAAAATTACCCTGGTTTGAGATATAGGGCTAATCTAAACTTTGTTGTTGGCTGCCCCGGGGTACTAGAAACATTAGAAGAGGTTCACTTCGTCTCCAAAAGGCGAGAGTTGTTACATGGCACGACACGAAGGCCTTTTTTTCCACGAGGAAACGCGAAATTATCACTAACGATTAAGTGACAAAAGTGGAAAATCTCGAGGAACTTTATAATTAAAACGCGAAACCTTTTTTTTGGGATCTAAGGGACGCGCATAAAAACCAAGCAAATGAGTCCATATCATAAAGAGAGCACTGTTTGATCGTTTAGTCTAGTAATAAACTTCGGGAAGCCATTACTAAACCATATGGCTTTGATAAGGATGACACGTTTATATAACAATACTTTAATTCGCTGTTTCTCCTCAAATAATCAGGGCCCCATCAATGATTCTGTTACCATCACGCTCAATTAAACCAGTTCTGAGGGAGTTTCTCGATGAGCTTTCTGAAGGAGGTCATTTTAAAGGTTATAATTTGGGGATCAAAGAACGAGGAGAAATGAACTTGGGAGGGCAGCAAGAGAGTCTCTCGCGCATCTGACACCTCCAGGATTCAACGCTGATTGGCTCTCATTTGAAGGAGCTCATGGGTTCATTCAACTATTAAGCGCCTCCCAGTTCCTCTAAAGGACATTATAATGCAAGGGACCTCCTTTTTTAACCACAAACCGAATTTGCTTTCATTTAGGCCATATATATTTTTTAAATAGTTTAAAGTCATAGAGATTTTTTTGGGAAAGCATTTCGCCCTGGAGCGGTGCGCGATGCTTTCGCACGCCGACCTGCTGGATGCTCGCCTCGGTGAGTTATCAACGCCAAACTCCGGTCTGCAACTCTACTGTAAGCTGGAGCACTCTTCTCATCTAATTCAAGCAGAGAGAATTGACAATTTGTCTCTTATTTTATCTTAATTCGATTTAAGCGAGCTAATTCATTGGAAAAGTAATCATTATTATTATATTACGCAGTAATTTGATTTAGTCGTTTTCCAAGATATTGAGGGGAATCAAATGGAATTAGTTTTTTTTAAAGATGACATTGTTGTGAGCTAGTTTTTCACCATTATTTGCATTTTATGGCTGTAATGAGAAATAGCATATTGTAGTTTTTGCATAAGAATTGTGCTTGATGTGACAGTCTAGAAAAAATATTTTCTGCACTAATACTTCTCTCTTTTTCAGCAATGCTTGGTGTTGATTTTGAGCTCACTCAGCTTTGACCTGTTTTCTCTGCTTCAGGGATGAAGGATGCCGCGGCCGAGCTTCTGGGTCACAGGGAGGCATTGAAATGCAGGCTGGGCGGCGGCGGAACTGACCCGGGCCACCCCGGAGAACTCGCCCCGGTCTCCGATGCAGTGGAAGGGGCCACCCTTCTCCCCGGAGAAGATATCAACAGTGCTGGATCCAATCCGCCGGGTGCAGCGGTGAACAGTAAGGAACAGGAGAAGCAACAGCAGCAGCAACAGAACCCCACCCAGTCCGGCGGCCAGCAGAGTCAGAAACAGAAACGGCACCGGACTCGCTTTACTCCGGCTCAGCTTAACGAGCTGGAACGCAGCTTCGCCAAAACTCACTATCCGGACATCTTCATGCGCGAGGAGCTCGCCCTGCGGATCGCCCTGACGGAGTCACGCGTGCAGGTGAGTCCGGTGGAGTCTGATCAGCACAGGTTTCGGATTGTTTCATTAATATTATTATTGCTGTATCGTCATTTACATTGTATTAATTCTGTACAACATATATATGATATTTTCATAAAATATTATGCGTTGTTGTAGGCTGAAATTATTATGTTTGAAATGAAAAAGGGAAATCGATACATCTAAAGCACTATATAATTATCATTATTATTACTCAGATTATATTTTCTATAAAATGCATTCCCAAAGAATATTTAGGTAGATAATTTAGCTACCCCCCCCCCCCCCCCCACAAATACTAATGTTGATTATTAAAAATACGAGATAACGAAATGAAAACGCTTTATATTTTAATTTGAAGAAGACCAGCCTATTTTTATTATAAAGAGAATTCGCATTTCTGTTTGTTTATATGAGTTTGTCGATAGAACATTAGCACAAAAATCCTCGCCTAAAAATACTATAATAGTTTATGAAAACGCTTTTAAATGTGATGAAAACATCTCCGAACGAGCTCTGTCGTCAATAAAACAATGAAAATAAATTAATTATAGCCTGAATAATGTCTACAAAACTGTTAAACTCATATTAATATTCAGTGTAAACATCCATGGTGTTTTAAATGAGACCGCATGTCCTGTTTATTGTTTTTTATTATTAGTAGCATATTTATTTTCTCAATTTGTATATTCAACAGTATATTCATCCCAATCTCACGAATCTCTTGCTTTATTATTGTAAAACTGTGTTTATTGCTTCCGTAAAGCTTTAAGCACTACCATCATATAGGTTTTATTTATTTTGTGTTAGTGTTATAATTAGTATTATTGTTATTGCTGTTACAGATTTCTAGGCCTTATTGTATTTGATTCAGGTTACGTTTCTATAGCAATTTTCTTGGCTCTTGAAAGTGCGCCCATTTCAACGCAGCGCGCTTTTCATGATTATGTTATTGTTCAGGTCATCTTCCTTTTACAATACCATTATCGGTTATCTTAGCCATTGGAGCAGACCGATATCTTAATCGCTTTTATAAGATGAGGACTCTTGCTGCTGCTGTGATTGGTGGTCAGGCGCAAATGCAGCAGTAAATGAACCCGCGAGACAAATGTAGGACGCAACGAGCGCGCGCTGCATTCCAGCGCTATCTCTGTGATCTATAGAGGCTCATTATAAATGTATAGCTTTTCGAGTTGATAGTGCAATAAAACCAAGACCATTATTATTAACCAATTTCAGAATTATTTATAACTTAACAGGCTTATTAAACTCAATGCGTAAGACTATTCTGCGTAAAATAATAACCATCATAATGAGCAAGCCTGAGACTCTGTCCTAACCATTTTATTTACATAAAAACTAAATGAGTGACATGCTGACCGCGCGGTGATCTTCTGAAACAGCACACTAGGTTTGTTGCATGAATGTTTCGCGCTCTCATGAAATAGGTCTGTCAGTGTGCACGACTTAATGGCGAGCGTGCGGATGGTGCTCTGTCTTTTTTAATGGTATGAGAAATTGCATTTTCTTTTATCCTCTGAAGTGTAATGCATTTGAGGCCGGATTTCACGGCTGGCTGCGTGGAGTGGGATTCGGGGATCTAATATGAACCCCTCCACATTTTTTCTCCCCTTTTCGTTGGGTCAAAATCTGCTCGTTAATCATTGTGAGCGCGCCTGATATCTCTATAAACCTGAAGGACCTCGGGAAATAAACACCGTGTGAGCCTTTTACGGCCCAGGGTGGGCCTTTTTATGCCCTGGTGTTGTAAAATCGAGCACATAATAATGGGGAGTCTAAATATTATGATTCCTTATCATTTAAAACAGCATTAATAGCGCCATTCTGTGATGTCGAGACGTTTATCAAGGAAAGAGGCAAAAGAAAAACAAACTAAATATTAAAAGAAAAACTATGTTAGCTATACAGTCAAAGGTGGTAACCTGCAATCGCTATTTCGAACTAATTTAGTTTTGTTTGTACACTGAAAAAAATAGCGTAGGAACAATCTTCACTGAGAAATTGCTAGAAATTACAAAGAAACGCCAAGTAACGCGTTGAATTAAACATGCTATTTTAAAATAGAAAAAGCAAAATAGTATGTTCTTGTAAACCTTACTCCAATAATCAGTTCTAACCCTACAGTGTAAATGATTTAGGTTGATTCAGCGATGTTTAATAATATTTTTGAACTTGAATGAAAGTAGTTAATTGAGATGTTACCAATGGTATGTTACTATTTTTTCAGTGTAGTTTGTTCAAATTTATTTTGATGTCACTAATAGCATGCAAACAAACAAATAATGCATCAGAAGAATATTTTTTCCCCTGCTGTGTTAAGTGTAGGTTATTTTTGTGCAACTATATTTTTTGTGCAACATAGATTTTTGTGTATCTATATTTCTTTAGAAATATAACAAAGAAACCAAAACACTGATTCTTAAGAATCTGTAATGTGACATCAAGAAATGTTGGGTCTTGTTTAAAAACACACACACATGTTTGTTTTACTATACTTGTGAGGACTTTCATAGACTTTCTATCCCCTCACCCTAACTCTACCCCTAACCCTCACAGAAACCTTTTTGCATTTTTACATCTTAAGATAAACTTAATTTAGCAACCCCCCCCCAACCCCCACACACACACAATGCGTATTTATTTATTGTCTGCTTATTTTATTTTAGTGAACATAAATGATAATAACAAAAACAAATTTTTCATTGAGCAATATTGGACGCCATGTTATACTGCTTTTTTATTAAACGTTTTAAATGCACACTTTTACATCTATTCTAATGCAATGTAAGCATTTCTGACGGCTCTTTTTGTTCCCTCTGCTTGCAGGTTTGGTTTCAGAACCGACGCGCCAAATGGAAGAAGCGCAAGAAGACCACCAACGTGTTTCGCGCTCCGGGCACATTGTTGCCTACACACCACGGCCTACCGCAGTTCCCCTCCGCCATGGGCGACAGCCTGTGCTCCTTTCACGCCAATGACACCCGCTGGGCGGCGGCCGGGATGCCGGGAGTCTCACAGCTGCAGTTACCGCCCGCACTAGGCCGACAACAAGCCATGGCACAGTCTCTATCCCAGTGCAGCCTGGGCGCCGGACCGCCACACAACTCCATGAGCCTGTCCAACATGTCCTCCAACGGTTCCGGCCTCCAGTCCCACCTCTACCAACCCACCTTCCCCGGTATGGTGTCCGCGTCGCTCTCTGGCCCCACCAACGTGACCGGCTCGCCTCAGCTGTGTAGCTCCCCGGACACTGACGTCTGGAGAGGGACGAGCATCGCGTCCCTGCGCCGCAAAGCGCTCGAGCACACAGTGTCCATGAGTTTCACCTAATACTTTGACGTGGTTCACCTCCTGTTTCTCGTCCACCCATCATTACCGGCCCAGTGACGCACACGGAAGTCAAAGGATACGACTGTCCTCTAGTAAACATGAACTGTGCGCACCTGATGGAAATAAAACCTAAAGCATCATAGCCTGAAGAAAAAAAAAGACATTTATTTATTACGTCCTATTTATTTTTGATTTATTAGCACTTTCTTTTTGCAAATTGAAAATGTCAGCAAGCTGGACAGTAAACAATCTGCACATTTGAAATGTATTCGTTTGCATTTGAGAAACAAGGCGAGAGACGGTGCACTCGTTTTTATTATTATTATCATCATTATTATTATGGAAGAAATCGTTCACATTTTAGGACTGTTTTATGAATCGGTGGAGGAGAGAAAGGAAAATATCTCAAAAAGAATTACGATTCTTGACTGCATGTGCCGACCAAGGTAAACAACAACACAGCAACGGGGAAATGTCATTTAAGCGAGAAGTATGAATTTGTTATATGCTGTTATATAGGATGTTTTGTGTAGATAAAGCATTCTTAACTTGTTCCCATTCGGTCAGTTTGTGATATGTTCTAAGTTCATGTATGTGCTTCTACAATATAAATTTCTTAAATGTTTGATCTTATTCTTAACGGCTGTTTCGTTTCCTGAACATGTTTATAACGATTGAATGTAAATTAACGAATAAATTCATTTTCAATATGTCATTATTTGACACCTCGCATCTTCTGTTATTCTTGGGGAAACATAGATCTTGACTGGTAATACTTTATTACTATTATATGCCATATATGAGAGAGAGAGAGAATACAGGCATGCAGTAATGAGAGAGAGAGGGAATATAAAGCTGAGGTTATAGGGTTACATGCTAGAATTAAAACATTAAGACATCATTAAAAACATGCAGCAAATATTCTCCATAACAGATTACACGCATGCTTGCATGGAAGACATGTAGGCTAAGTCTTCTTTCAGAAGGTTGCAGAAGTCTTGCCACTAAAAATCACCTAAAATTTGTAGTGCTGTGTGGTTTCCTTAAATACAATATATTACGTTCAGCAAATCACATATCCAAACAGGAAAACAATATAAAAACTGGAATAGCCCATACTCTCGCCCTTTCTGAATTATTCAGTAAGTATAGGTACTATGCATATACAGGGGTGGCGCCAGAGAATTTTGAACGCAGGTGCTGAGGGGGTGTTAGATCATTGACAGGGGGAGCTGGGCAATTCAGGGCTCCAGACTCATTCTACCCACTGGTCGCTCTTTTGCGACTAACTTTCTCAGTTGGTTGCACTAGCACATGTTTTTTTTTTGCTACAACATGGGATTAATCAATGCATGCTGATGAACTTTTATCATAGTTTATACACTGAACAAAATTATAAACGCAACACTTTACTTTTTGTCCCCATTTGTTATGAGCTGAACTCAAAGATCTAAGACTTTTTCTATGTACACAAAAGGCCTATTTCTCTCAAATATTGTTCATTTTTTGTGTCTTTCTTTTTTTAATTATCATCTTAATTATTAAATACAAGAGGCTATAGCATGTATATAATTGATTCCAGGAAGAAATCTGTGGGGGTGCTATGGGGGTGCTTTTGTCTTTCTTAGGGGTGCTGAAGCACCTGCTAGCCCCTCCCTAGCGCCGCCCATGTGCATATATTATGCAACCTGCAAACATGCAAGCGTACTGGGCAATGTATCCCATAATGCAATAAGCTCAACTTGAATGTCCATTTCCAGTGTGACGAATTAAATTAACTTAATATCAACATTTTAAATTCTGATATGATATCTGGGCACCATCCACGAATATTGTAATGCATTACTTTTAAAAGTAACTTTCCCCAACACTGCTTTTTAACCTCAAACGCTCGTCTTGTCTAATTCGGCGTGAACTCTGTGCATTCCGGTTCATGACAGTTAGGGTGTATCGAAAAACTCCCATCTCATTTTCTCCTCCAACTTCAAAATCGTTCTAAATCGTCCTACATCGCGGTTTTACCGTTTTCTGTAAAGGGTGTTTGATATTCTTTGCACGTTCACTTTGTAAACACTGGGTCGGTACTTCTGCAGTGATGTAGGACGATTTTGAAGTTGGAGGAGAAAATTAGATGGGAGTTTTTCGATACACCCTAACTGTTTCGAATGGGACTGCACAGAGTACGCATGCGCATTGCAGAGCTACACAAGACAAGCGTTTGAGGTTAAAAAGTATATCATTTATTATCTTTTTTAGAAAATGACCGATCGTTTCGCTAGATAAGACCCTTATTCCTCGCCTGGGATCGTGTAGAGCGCTTTGAAGCTGCAATTTGAACCTTCCACCCATGAACCCCACTGAAGTCCACTATATAGAGAAAAACCCTGGAATGTTTTCCTCAGAAACCTTAATTTCTTTTCGACTGAAGAAAGAAAGACATGAAGATCTTGGATGACATGGGGGTGAGTAAATTATGAGGAAATTTTTATTCAGAAGTGAACTAATCCTTTTAACTAACTAACTATAAACCTTATGCACAAGAGACACAAGCATGCAGCCATTGAAAATGGACTTGAATTCGATGAAGTAGATTTACTTATTAACAATAGTTATCATGAGCATTGTAATGTTTGAAGCAGATATCATAACAAATGTCAGTAGACCTGGAAGATTTTAAAATAAGCGGTTCATTCACGAATCCCTAAGATCTTATCTTCATGCTGTGGAAAACACAAACTTTTCTGTGGTCTGTCACTTTAAATGCGGGCGCTGATTCTGATTGGCTGACCATGCTTTAATCGTTCATCAGCTGGAAAAAAAAAAAATCGTCCTGAGAGGGATTACAGCGATATGGTTCCTCTGTGTGTTATCCTTATAATTATGGTGAGGACTTCTATAAGGCCAGAACGATAACTATATTATTGTCCACATCAAGGCAAGTTAAGGTTGTTTATTAAAGCGCGCGCTGTAATTTTGTTGTTGGCTGCTTTAAATGCTTGCTATTGTTAAATTCTGGTGGATTCTGATTGGCTGTCAATGTTTTTATTGTTCATCAGGTGAAAAGAAAAGTTCAGAAGTGATTTAAAGGATATTGTTGCTATGTGTTCTTATGATGATCTCCTTTATTTTTCTTTATGCATACTGAATTATGATTGGTCTTTACGTTTTTACATTTATTTATCAACTTGTATAGCGCAGAGTTTTCATTATTATAAATAGGCAATACAATTTTAATTTGATTTACTTTTTCTTAAAAATAACATTTTTTGCTGCCTGGCAACAGCATTTTCTAAAGGAAATGTGAATGAACTTTTAATTGTCAACATTTCTCTCCATCCTCACTTTAATTTCTCTTGCATTTTGACTGTACTGTTGTTTCTTTGCACCTTGTTCAGATAGTTACATCTCCCTCCGTCTCCTGCTACCCTCCCCTCTCTCTCTGCCCTTGAGTTTTTCTATTACCTTGTGGAAAGCACCTCGCCTGGCATGACAAGCGCAGCGGATTGACACTAAATCAGAAATCAACGCTAGAGCTCAGCATGAAGGTCACACTCTCACACACACGCGTCTCTATCTGAGAACACACGCGATTCGCTCATCTCTCTCTCTCTCTGTGTGTGTGTGTGTTGGGGTCACAAGGGCCCAGTGGGGCCACATCTCTGTAAGGTGAGGTGATGGTAATCCTCAAATAATTCCTCAGCATTCGCACAGAGTCTATCACTCTCACTCTTTTGAAGACCTGAGGGAGAATGTAGCCAGAGAAAAGGCTTAAAAGTATTGCTTTAATATGTTTACTTGATTATTCAGTTGCTGCCATGCCATACTGTTGCCTTTATGTGTGTGAATAATACATTTGGGAGGAGATCACAGACACTAGTGATTGAATAAAATGGACTGAATCCCTGAAGCTGTGGATAAGTTAGTGTCTCAGACATGTTCGACCGCAACAGGGTTTTCGAGTTGGTGTATACTGACATCTAGCGGTGGCATGATGACCACAAAAACAATAACAAAAAAAAATACTATAAAACAAGAATTTTCTTACAGAAAAAATACACATGGTATCACAGATATATACAACAACAATAACTATATATATATAACGTAATAAAAGGCAATATCTACAAGATTTTACAGAGAAAAATACTCAAAAATATATAATGAACCACGATACTAACAATACAGTTAAAAATATGATAATATAAAACAGCATTTGACAGAAGTATTTGCTTACAGAAAAAAAAATCAGTATATTAAAGGGGTTATATGATGCTTTTTTAAAGATCATTATTTGGTGTAACAGAATATGTTGACATGCTTTAATGTTCAAAAAACACATTCTTTTTCAAATACTGTACATTATTGTAGGTCCTCTATGCCCCGCCTCTCTCTCTCTCTCTCTCTCTCTCTCACACACTCTCTCTCTCTCTCACACACACACACACACACACGCACACATTCTCTCTCTCTCTCACACACACACACACACACACACGTGCGCACACACACACACAATGCGCAAAACTCCGCATTTGAACAGTCATTAGCAAATACTTAAACTAATAACAAAACAGTAGCTGATTCAGAAGCGCCAGATTGTCATAGCAAAGTCAGAATTACCTCCTCTCCTAGGTTCACGAAACGGTCGTCCATAAAATGCATTGCTGTTCTGTTGTAAGTAATCTTAAAGATTCCTAAATGCATCTACTTTCGGAAGGCCAAATAAAGTGCTTTTGCTTTCGCCTAGAAACACACAGCGTCTCCCTGACATGCTGCTTCAACACTAACTGCGGTTACTGAGACCATGCCTTTTTTCTTTGCGTGCACATTTGGGCGGCATTATGCAAATATTTCCACATAGTGAGGTAGATATGTGGGGGCGTGTTAAACCAAGCCGTTTTAGGGGGGGGTGGCAGAGTCTTAACTTTGATAAAGAATATCTCTTCGGGTTTTGTGCAACTACAGGGATCTTATCTATGCACAATCAGCTTGTAACACTCCAAAGAGAAAGGACAACTTGAAATCGCATCATATGACCCCTTTAAGTTTTGTTGTATATGCTGCTTCTTTTGTTTAAATTTGGGGCTGGTACATCTACAAACCAACCTCCAATAAAAGATCAACTTGTAGACCTTTGATGTTTTTCGCTTCGCAAACACTGCGGGTCACGTGTGTCCCCTGGAAGCTTCCGTAGCTAGTCACATGAGTCCGCAAATTGTTTGTTTGTAGTGAGCAGCTGATTTGGCCGAAAATACTGTCAGAGAGATGATTTTATGAACATTTCCGATCATCGACGGTCATTTGACTCGTTTATATGCTCTAACTGAAGTGTTTTGGCTCTAAAGCAGAACCGGCTCGGAACGGATACATTGTACCAGACGCGTGTGTGACGCGTTCTGTCAAACAAGACGTGCTGTAATGTTTGGGTTCGTCACGGATGGAAATATATTCCACTAGAGAGTGAGCTGACGCGACTGATTGAGTGTTTTCATAAAGACTCCTCGCATCAGGAATATCAACAGAACGCACCGCGCGTCTCTGCCAGACGGTTTCGCAACATGCAGCTACACTGATTTGTCTTGAGATTTATTTGCACACAAAATCCATTCGTTTGCGTGTAAAGTCAGATGCTTTTG